TCATCCTGAATGAGGCCCACAACTGTAGTGTCATCCGCATACTTTAGTATGTGGTTGGTGTTGTGCCTGGGACAACAGTCATGGGTCATCAGGGTGAACAGCAGGGAGCTCAGGACGCAGCCCTGAGGGAAGCAGTGCTCAGAGAGATGACACTGGAGGTATTGTTGGCCCCTCGTCCAGCAGCCAGTTGCACAGGGGGATGTTAATCCCCAGGGGGCCCAATTTGCATACCAGGTCCTGGGAGATGATCGTATTGAATGATGACCTGAAGTCCAGAAACAGCATCCTTACATGGGTGTTCTTTCCCTCCAAGTGCTTCAGGCTCAGGTGGAAAGCAGTAGAGATGGCGTCCTCAGTGGAGCAGATAGGCTGGTATGCGAACTGCAACGGGTTGAATGATGGGGGCATTATGGTGATGATCTGGTCCTTAACCACCCACTCGAAGCACTTCATGACGATGGGTGTTCATTGAGGAAGCTGATGTCATCCTGGCAAGGTGAAGGTGTGGTTTTATAGTCTGTGACAGACGGGATTCCCTGTCGCAGTTGTCTGGTGTTGCTGGGGTCATGGAAGAAACCCTGGATCTTTCGACTGTGGACACGCTTTGCATTCCTTATTCCATTCAGGTTGGCTCTCGCTGATCTGAGTGCCACCGTGTCACCGGATTTGAAGGCTGCATTACGTTCCCTCAGTCTCGTACTCACCTACTTGTTCATCCATGGTTTCTGGTAGGCCCGTGTTATTGTCTTTGTTGCTGTGACCTTCTCCATGCACAACTGGATGTAGCAAGACACTGATGCAGCATTCTCTTCAACATCTGTGTGTTGACTGTCCGGTGTAGCCTCTCTCAACATGTCCCACTCAGTGCACTCAAAACAGTCCTGCAGTGCAGACATAGCTCCATCAGGCCACACTCTTACCTTCTTCACAGCAGGCTTTTCTCTGATGAGCAGAGGCTGGTATGCTGGAATTAGCATAACAGAGATTCTCTGAGGAGGTGGGGGCTGGGGGGCTGCTCTGAAGGCCTTCTTGATGTTGGTGTAGACCAAGTCCAGTGTATTTCCCTCCCTGGTTGCAAAATCCACATGCTGATGGAAGCTAGGAAGAACAGTCTTCATGTTGGCTTGGTTAAAGTCCCCAGCAACAATAAAAATGCCCTCCAGATGTGTATATTGCATGTCACTAATGGCAAGGTAGAGAGTGGTTAGCGCTTGTTTGGTGTTAGCACTGGGTGGTATGTACACAGCAGCAATAATGACAGTATTAAATTAAATTCCTGGGGCAAGTAGAAGGGTATACATTTCACAATCATAAACTCAATGTCCATCCAGTTGGCAAGCAGAATGGAGGGAAGCGGGGATCGGAACGGGTTACCTTTTAGCTTAGCTGTAAGACCTTCGCGGCAACCGGGCTTGTGTTTCCTCTCACACTGCCTCCGGTGACTTTGTGGACGGCCTGTGCTGGTAGGGGACTCCGCTGTTGTGTAAGCCGCTTTCCCCTCACACTCAGTGAGTTTTTGTCTCAAATGGAATTGAAAATGTGTTGAAAGGCAATTTTACCCTGAAGCCAAATAATTCAGATTGTATTATTTTAAGGTAGATTTTAGGTCTCCACTGTTTGTATACCAAGACACGCTAATTCTTCCCGGAGGCCACACAGTATCCTCAAGCCCATTCTCTTTAGTAATTGTAATTGAAAATTGTCCAAAATTAAGTTACATTTTCAGCCTACAATTTGAGGTTTTGTTTAGAAACTACCTTTTTGGCTGTTGGATTCCAGTGATTATTGTCCCACTGTAGCTACTTTTTGTTGCCACATAGTTTTCTTTACCTACTCTGACATTCTGCATCATTTTCCATTGTAAAATTATGATGAGAACTCAGTTATTAATCCTAATCCTTAATACCCTGTTCTACAGGTATTGCTAACTTTTGTCATATTATTATGTTTTGTGCAGGCAGCAGTGGTGGTGGTGTTCAACTTTGCCATGGTGCTGCTCATCTTTCCTGCCATCCTCAGCATGGACCTGTACCGTCGTGAAGACAGACGCTTTGACATTTTCTGCTGCTTCTACAGGTGTGCACAGAAATTGCGGATGAACTGTTATGGTTTTTTTATCCAATCTATTTTTAATCTTGTTTTCAGATCTATTATCTAACAATGCACAACACAGTAATTCAACCTAATTCTTCTTAGTCAAAGGCCTAATTACCACTTTAATTGTCTGTTCCTGTCTGGCTGCTTGAATCGAGCTGTTTGTTTAACTTTGCTGCCTGCCCGTTAGTCTGAACTTGCCCTGTTGGCACAGCCACTGTGCAGATGTGCTCACAGACACTGTGAAGTTCCCTTGTTTAGTCCGAGCATGATATTTCACCTTGTTGGCAGAAAGAAACTGTCTCAACACAGTTGTTGAAAGGCAAGTTTATAGATTTGGCAGGGATTAGTGGTGGAATCTCAAACTTTTTTTTACCATTTCATCTGCTTTGTCATGTTTTCCTCACTGTCATTCCAGCCCTTGTGCCAATCGTGTGATCCAGATTGAGCCTCAGGCCTACCTGGATGGGACAGACAGGAGCCATTACAGCCCTCCACCATCTTATCGCACCCCACCTCCTTCATATCACACACCACCTCCAAGCTATAGCAGCCCTCCTCCCTCCTATAGCAGCCACGGTTTTTCCCAGCAGACTGAAATCACCATGCAGTCCACGGTGCAGCTCAGGACAGAGTACGACCCCCTGACTCAGGCCTTCTACACCACAGCTGAGCCAAGGTCCCAAATCTCTGTGCAACCAATCAACCCGGCTCCAACCAGGAGCAACCCTAATGACTATTACAGTTCCAATGGTAGCAGAAACAACAGCAGCAATCTCAACAATAACAACAGCGTTAACAGCAGAGGCAATGGTGAGTCGCAGAGTTCGGCCAACTTCCCCCAACACCATCCCACAACTCCTTCCGCAACTCCAACTTCAGCAGTTTGCCCAGTTTCTCAGGGTGATCCAGCCTCATCAGCAAGTCAGAATCCTGAGAGCAGCAGCTCCACAAGGAACCTTCTGTCCCAGTTTGGAGAAGCCTCCCTTGATTTACACTGCTTAGAGCCTCCCTGCTCTCGCTGGACCCTGGCTTCCTTTGCTGAGAAACACTATGCCCCTTTTCTCCTGCAGCCCACCACCAAGGTAAGCGCAGTGCTTCTGTCATTATAGGTGTGCTTTTTAGTAGACTTGTGGTAAAAAGCATGTGTATGCTAACTCACTGTGGTCAGGAACTGAATAGAAGGCCTAGTCATTGAGCAGCATGAAAGACATTTGCAGGAGAAAACAAACACACATACTCCTACATGTACACACAGTGTCTGACCTCAGTTTTAGTGGGTGGCCACTGCCTCTCAAAGCTCCCTCAGAATTGAAATCATGTGGTGGCCTGTGCTTGACATTATTAAAAAAATCTCTTTTCATCGTCATCATCATGTTTCTCCATTTTACCAAATTGTTTCATGCTCCCAGCTGATGTCTTAATCCAAAGCTCCATGACTGTGGCTCACTAAGGAACAAAACTTGTTCTTTGACAGCATGGGACTTATTTTCTCATTATTTATGGAAATAATGGCAACATTTTTAGCAGTGATGTTTAATGGTGGAAAAAAATGCAAAAGAGACACATCAAGAAAAAAACATTTTAAATTGGGGTATTACATAGTATTTAGTATATACGTAGTATTTAGTATTTTCAGTCGGGCATCAGTATATATGTGGTGAACTAAAATGCAGTGCTATAATTTAACACAGGTCTGTGGTAAAACAGTGACATGCAGTGTGTAGGTGTGAGCTCCACCGAAACCACAATCAGGACACCACACAGGAAAATCGTTGGAGTTTTATTTTCTTCTCATTAACAGAAGGCTATTTCAATCCAAACAACACTGTCTGGAATAATCTAAAAGTCTGTCAACACATTATACAATACATCAACAACACTAAAGATACAATAGATAGACTAATTCAAATAATGAAAATGGATAAAATTGAAACTTTTGCATAGTTAACATAACCAACTGAACGGAAAGTGAGCAGAGCTTTTTAAACCAACACTGCCTTTTTATTGGAAACAATCTCCTGCTTTCAATTTAAAAAATGTCACAAAATAGTTGCAATATTTCCATATTTCAATAAACAAATAACAGTCACAGTGTTGGTTAAATAGGTCTTGACAGAAAATTACTTGGTGAGGCGTGAGCTCATCTGTCCACTGTGTTGTGATAACATGGATATTTTTTGAATAGCTGGCTGAAAACCTAACTTTTATTTCAATATCTTTACCATCATTTGAAATATACAACTTGCCTTAAAGCAGTATTACTTTAAAGTCAGGACAGGCTGTTGCATTGCGTCATCACTGTAAGTGGTGAAATTGATTGATGATGCTTCATCCTCATGTTTCCAGGTGGTTGTAATTGTGTTGTTCCTCTGCCTGCTGGGAGTCAGTTTATACGGGACCACCCAGGTAAGGGATGGCCTGGAGCTAACAGACATCGTGCCGAGAGAGACCAGCGAGTACGACTTCATCGGTGCCCAGTTCAAGTTCTTCTCCTTCTACAACATGTATGTGGTAACACAGCGGGCAGATTACGCCCAGAACCAGCTACTACTGCACCAGCTTTACCAGCGATTCCACACTGTCCGCTACGTGCTGAGGGAGGAAAACGGGCAGCTTCCCCGCATGTGGCTGCACTACTTGAGGGATTGGCTGCTAGGTGAATTCACAATACACGGAAAACTCCTGCTTTGGCCAGGTTTAAAATGAGTTTTAGTGATTTTATTCTTTAATCCTTATTTAGAAACACTATTCGGAAGACATGAAAATGATGGTGTTTCTTCTGTATTTTGACATAATAAATGAGAAACAAGATGTTGGGCTAGATTTCAGAGGAAGGTGGAAACTTTAAATGGACACTGACATTAGCTGATTAAAATTTCTTGTGCCCCATAGAAAAGAGCCAAGAGTTCTCATAAAATACTCTTCTGATATAAAGTTATATAAATATAGGTCTGAGGCTATGTTCAGACTGCAGGTGTTTTCAGTTTGGATTTTTAGCTGAGAATTATTGTCTTCTGTCATTGTTCAGAGTTAGAATTAAAAGTGGCGGCCAATGGACTTGCATGTGCCCTTTTGCGTTTGTTAAAAACTAAACATGCCGCCACGTTCTGGACTTTTGTAGGGGTCTTGTTGATCAGGGTGGTAGACCCGATAGGAGAGCATTCCAGTAACCTAGGCGGAATGATATGATCATAGCCTGTTGTAACAGTTGGATGGCTTGTTGAGTCAAATACAGTCTGATTTTGCGTATGTTGTAGAGTGCAAAGTGACAAGATTGGGAGATAGAGGCAATATGGTCAGAAAACGATAGCTGGTCATCAATAATGACACCTAGGTTTTTCACAACCTTGGTAGGGACAAGAGCGGTAAAGGTGATTTTTACTTCGATATTCTGATCGATTGAGTGATGAGCTGGGATAAAAAGGAGTTCAATCTTAAATAGGTTAAGTGATGTTCTTTCATTCACCTGGATAGGTCTGAGAGGCAGGCTGAGACTGTGGTGTCGTCTGGTGGAAAAGACAGGTATAGCTGTGTGGCATTGGGGTAGCAGTAGTAGAAAAAGCCATGAGAGTGGATGATCTCACCCAGTGAGGTGGTGTATATGACGAAGAAAAGGGGACCCAGACAGGGTACCCCTGTGTAGAGGCAATGGGATGGAGAGAATTGTCCCTGCCAAGATACTCTGAAGGAACGCCCGGTGAAGTATGAGCAGGTCCAGGAAAGGGAAGCACCTGAGATGCCCATGTTTGGCAGTAAGGATAGCAAAATGCTTTGGTGATAAGTGATAACGACTGGCCCGCAGCATTAGCTATTCTTTGAGCCTCAGAGCTGTTATTGTTGAGTGACCACTTTTGAAACCAGAGTGGTTTGTGTCCACAAGTTTAGTATGAGAGAGAAACTCAGTGAATTGTTTAAAGACCGCTCGTTCAATTGCAGGAAAGGAAGTAGTGAAACTGGCCAATAGTTCACAATCTGGGTGGGATTGATTGAGGGTTTCTTTAGTAGTGGCATCACTCTTGCCTGTTCGAAGGTAGATGGAAAGGTACCTGATGCAAGTGAGACATTGATCATGCTTGTGACTGCTGGGTACACTGTAGGGGTTATGGCTTGGAAAAGAGTTGCTGGAACTGGGTCTGTCGGGCAGGTGGTAAGACAGCTGCCAGTGAGGAGTAAGGATATCTCTCTTACAGTGAGAGGCTTGAATGATGTTGTGTTGTGTTGATGATGAAGTGTTGCCAGAGGAGACAGGGATGGCCATGTAGTAGGGCTGATACATGTTGAGTTTGCATGAGTGATTATTGTTATTAACATGCAAATATGTAACTATATCACTTTGTATAGTTTGTTTTAAATGTGTTTATTTGTATTTGCTTTTATTTTGCTTTGTCTTGCTTTTACTCTACTGTCTGCATCTAGGTTGACATTTTAAATGGGAATCTGTTGTCAACTAGCTTATCAGGATAGATAATGGTTAAATAATAATATAATTAAAGTTAACAAAGTTAATTGTAAATGAGCTATTTTATTAAGTCTGATTCCGAATTGTTTTAGAAACATTTATTTATTGATTTTGCTTTAAGAAATCACATCAAAGTACTCTTTGACAAAGGTTAGTACGTATAGTCAATTAAATGACTGAAATCTGACAGAACTGTGGTTTTGATCATCACAAAAATAATACTTAAGTATTTATTCTCTTCTCAGAAGAATAAAAAAAAAATTGACCTGCATTAATATGAAAGGTGATACTGAGATCTTGACTGCAGTAAACAGGGCAGGTCAGGTTCAAAAACAGTGGTTTTGATGCGCAAGATATCACACAGGGGAGAGTGACTTTGTTTTGTCCTCACACGGTTTTTGTTAATGTTCATAACCGTGAACATCATCTTGCACAAGTATGTCAAACCAAACAAGCTCAGCATTTTCTTGGAAAATGTTCAAATCTCTTGGAACCTGTCTTTGTCCAGCCAGCAGTAAATGTTTACAAGAGGGAGTTGCTGGTGCTGACAGTGACACTCCACGTCACACTGCAGCTCAATGAGCTCCAGCTGTTGGTTGGCTGGATCGTCATTAGGATCCACAGAAAAACGAGAGAGAAAAAAGTGTGATATCCTTTTCAAGAGGTGCAAAATTCCTAAAACGCTGTTGAAACTCCTGAGCCAGAGATGAGATGTTTGCTGCACACCTCCTCATTTGCACACTGATATTGTTTGCTGGAAAACTGGTCATCATTTTCTGCAGTGATGGGAAATGTGTGGTATTGGGCTGCATTTATGACACATGGCTTTGGAAAAGTAGCAGCTTTGTCCCAAAGGCTTTGATGTGTGATTACAACTGGCTTACCACTGCATTTTTCCCCTTAAGGCTTGTGTTCAGCACGTTCAGATGTCGTGTTATGTCAACTAAAAATCCAAAATCAGCTAGCCAAACATAATCACAAAGTTCTGGTATCAGTTGTTGCTTTTATGCCAAGAATTATGATTTTCTTTTAGAGAGAGTAGAATCGCTGCAGTGCACACTCCCAACTAAGCCATTTTATGTCATTATGAAAATGTTTAAACTGGCGGTGACACAAGGCTCTGGAGTAGGGCTCGGAATCGGTTCAAATTTCAAGAATTGAATCGATTCCGATACTCAAGATTCAGAATCGATTATCACAATTCGATTCGATTCTATTTCGATTTGTGTTATTTTGAGCTGTAATATGAATTAAATGACTACTTAGTTATACAACACCCTGTTACTTTTATTGTAAAATAAAAGTATAACATATTTACAACAAGGTCTCAGACAGTAAACTTTATGCTGCATGTTGTGCTGAATCTCCAGCTTCGTCATTCATTATACGTCCGGTCGGGCGCTACAGTACTTTGCGATGTGCCTCAGTCTCCCAAGCAGGCGTGCAAGGTGTGAGAGTTTGAGACCAGCTTGCGATGCGAGGTTTATGATGTGTGCGAAGCGGCCTACACGTGTTAGCCCCATTATACCCTTTCATTTTCCTCATTTAACAACTCCTCAGAGTATTCCTTCCATCTTCTCAGCACACTTTCCTCACTTGTGATCACATTCCTATCTCTGTCCTTAATCAACCTCACCTGCTGCACATCCTTCCCAGCTTGATTTCTCTGTCTTGCCAATCTATACCTTTTCTCCTTCCTTTGTTTCCAAACTCTCATACAACTCCTCATATGCCTTTTGTTTAGCCCTGGCCACTTCCCTCTTCACCTCTCTTGTCCTCTCTTTGTACTCCAGTCTGTTCTCTTCTGTTCTGTCACTGTCCCATCTCTTCTTCGCTAATCTCTTTCTCTGCACACTCTCCTGGATCTCCTCATTCCACCACCAGGTCTCTTTGTCCTCCTTTCTCTGCCCAGAGGACATACCTAGCACCTTCCTACCTGTCTCCCTCATCACTGCAGCTGTAGTCTCCCAATCATCTGGGAATATCTCAACACTACCCAGAACTGCCCTTACTTCCTTCCTGAAGTCTTCACAACATGTCTCTTTCCTTAGTTTCCACCACTTGATCTTCTGCTCTGTCTTCACTCTCTTCCTTTTTGTCACCTCCATCGTCATTTTACACACTACCATCCGATGTTGTTTGGCTACACTCTCACCTGCCACCACCTTACAGTCTCTAATCTCCCTCAGATTACATCTTCTACATAGAATATAATCTATCTGTGTGGACCTGCCTCCACTCTTGTAAGTCACCCTATGTTCCTCTTTCTTTTGGAAATATGTGTTTACCACAGCCATTTCCATTCTCTTTGCAAAATCTACCACTGCCTGTCCTTCTACGGTTCTCTCTCTAACACCAACCCTGCCTATCACTTCCTCATCTCCTCTGTTCCCTTCCCCTACATGACCATTTAGGTCTGCTCCAATCACCACTCTCTCTCTCCTGGGGATACTCTCTACCATCCAATCTAGCTCCTTCCAGAACTTCTCCTTTTCTTCCAACTCACAGCCCACCTGTGGGGCATAACCACTAACAACATTAATCATCTCTCCTTCTACTTCTACCTTCACACACATCAACCTGTCTGACTCTCTTTTCACCTCTACCACATTTCTTACATATTCTTCCTTTAGGATCACCCCTACTCCATTTCTCTTCCCATCTGAACCATGATAAAACAGTTTGTAGCCTCCTCCAATGTTTCTAGCCTTACTGCCCTTCCACCTGGTCTCCTGCACACACAAAATATCTACTCTTCTTCTCTCCATCACATCAGCTATTTCTCTACTTTTCCCTGTCATTGTACCTACATTCAAAGTTCCAAACTTCAGACTAACACTTCTATTCTTCATCTTTTCTCTTTTTCTCCTAACCAAACGCCCTCCTCTTCTTCTCTGTCTCTGACTCTGTCTCTGACCAACAGTAGTCCAATTTCCATCAGTGCCCTGTTGGTCAACGGCACTGTTGGCGGTCGTTGTTAACCCGGGCCTCGACCGATCCGGTATAGAAATCGTTTTATTGATCTGCATATTTGATTTTTAGGTTTTTTTTATTTTCTCGGGTAATTATTTCCATTTAAAAATATTGTAGCCACTTCAGCCACATTTAGCAACATGGTAAAATCCATGCCAGTGTAAAATCTCAAAAAAGTGAGTTTATATGAGTTTATTGAGCTTATTTATTGAGCTTATTTATTGTGTTAATGGTTGTGATTGTGTTCTTAGCAGTGACAACTCCGAAGAGATGTGACATGATGCAGAAAAATAAATGTTAGCAGTCCACATGTCAGCCCAGTTCAAGCCTGGGCTCATTTTTACTCACTGACCATAATGAGCGAGCTGCCTGGGAACCACACAGTGAGTCTGAGGTTGAGAGACATGTGGGAGAGAGAAAGAACTTTGTCTGATATTGCTTTCTGCAATGGTGGGACAAATTGGAGCCAGACAGCCAAGCAAGAGACCCAAAACATCTCCCACAGACCGACCACAGCGTGGTCCTTTGAGGAGAGTGGAGAGAAGAGGTGCCCTGCACATTTAGAGAGTTGTATAGAAAAGAAGACGTGTTACTCATATATTCCCTAATGATTGCTTTGAATCAAAGCCTATTTTAGGCCTTTGAAGTTCTGTTTGGCAGTTGACAATGAATGGATTATCAAATGCATCCATCAGTCTTATTATAGGGTTAGCTTGGTGTTTTGTTCTCTTGTTTCTCACACGTTAACTAATTAAGTGTTGTGTTCTCTAGTGAACTGTGCCTTATGAGTGTGTCACAATGGATGAATGAAGATAACAATGCATGAAATGTCCATATCTAATATAGGTACTACCACAATCCTTTTAAGGACTCTAACACCCATAATTCCACCGCTTCCAGTAAATCGACATACATCACAATCAGTGACCTCCACAACCTTTAAATTGGGGGCCCTAATTTCATTCACTCTGTTCAGAACTTTCTCCCCGTTGGACCCCTGATGAAAAGAGAAACCTGCTTGTCTTAGAAGAATAAGAGCCAACGCGCTTTTGTAGACACCATTGTCCACAGTGATAAATGCACTAGGAGTGTCTTTTTCTTGTCTGAGTTAACCGGTAATTAAGTTACACAAGTAGTGTAGCTCTGCAACCTAAGCTGTTATTGAAAAGTTTAGCTGGCTTTTGGGCACGTTATTTAATCTGTAGTATTATTAAGTGCTATTTAAACTTAGGGACAGTTTAAGTGTGCACATTGAAAACACTGAGTGTTATTGGATTGTGTTGTCCGAAATCTGTGCTGCTTTTATAGCTAGCCTGTTGCATGCGCTATCATCTTTTCTAACCTCCTTACTCGGTGTTATTCTCTCGTACACCGTCTGTATTTCATTGTTAATTTGTAACGTTATAAGTATTGGAATCAGGAAAACTCCGACAAAGTCCTTTGTCCTGAGTAGACCATGCAGTATGCCTCCCTTCCCCTTTGATAACATCACAAGCACTGTTTCATTGTACCTTAGCGCATGTTTGTGTACGTACACAACCCCTTTCACACCTCGGTGAGCGCATACACGCTTCACGTGATTCCTGTTGTCGTGCCCTCTACCTCGCAGTTCTTCCACTGCACAGTCACGTATGTGAACACGCCTCAAGGGCTCAGTCACTTGCTTGGTAGATAAGAGGCAACATCTCTCTTTCGCTCTCTTACACGACCACTCGTGTACACACGCACACACACATACTATTGTGCATTGTTTAGTTTGTGTCTCATCTACTACCATTAACGTGATAGGGTTGTGTTAATAAATTTGATTATTTTTGTAAACTGTGTTTGTCTGTGTTACTTTATTCATTGAAGCCACCCAGTTTGTCAAGAACTCCAGAAAAATCCTTCAGATATTTAATTGTTTGTGAATACTATTGATTGTAGTATATTTGTAATACTTTAAGTAATACATTATTACTGCATTAGTAGGATAACATAATAATTAAAGATAACTTTAATGAGACTGATTTGTGTTATTGATTTGAGACTGGTTAATAACACCGAGTGCTCCTAAGCAGCACTCTACCCATTGCACCTACACTAACCAGTCTGTCTTGTCGTGGTTTCCTGTAGGTCTCCAGCAGGCATTTGACAAAGACTGGGAGGCTGGCCGCATAACCTTAAATAACTACAGGAATGGCTCTGATGATGGCATCCTAGCATACAAGCTGTTGGTGCAGACTGGACGCAGAGAAAAGCCCATCAACTTTAATCAGGTATGATTGTGAATTAAAGGCATTACGTGACTGGTTAAAAAAAAGTGGTGTTTCTGACATCTTGAAAATCTTGATAACCTCTCTGTGCACCAATCACCCTCCTTCTGCCACCTACTGGGAGGACTGGTTTATTGGTAAACTTTGCATCCAAACATTTTTTCCTCCATCCATCCATCCATCCATCCATCAATCATCAACCGCTTATCCGGGGCCGGGTCGCGGGGGCAACAGCTTGAGCAGGGACAACCTCTCCCTCTCTCTCGACACTTCCTCCAGCTCTTCTGGGGGGCCCCAAGGCGCTCCCAGGCCAGCCGAGCGACATAGTCACTCCAGCGTGTCCTAGGTCTTCCCCTAGGTCTCCTTCCAGAGGGACAGCACCCGAGCACCTCCCTCAGCTGACTCCTCTCGATGTGGAGGAGCAGCAGCTCTACTTCGAGCTCCTCTCGTGTGACAGAGCTCCTCACCCTATCTCTAAGGGAGCGCTCTGCCACCCTGCGGAGAAAGCTCATTTAAGCCACTTGTATCCGGGATCTCGTTCTTTCGGTCATGACCCAAAGCTCATGACCATAGGTGAGGGTAGGAACGTAGATTGACCGGTAAATCGAGAGCTTCGCCTTTCGGCTCAGCTCCTTCTTCACCACAACGGACTGATACAGCGACCGCATTACTGCGGCCGCAGCACCGATCCGCCTGGCAATCTCACGCTCGATTCTACCCTCACTCGTGAAC